CACACCCTTCAGTCCAACTCATCCATGCTGACCAGATATCTTAAAAATAATCTAATCCCATTTGCTAGCATTTGGCCCATATTTCTCTAAACCCTTCCTATTCATGTACCCATCCAGATGCCTTTTAAATGTTGCAATTGTACCCGCCTCCACCACCACCTCTGGCAGCTCATTCCATACATGCACCACCCTCTGCATGGAAAAGTTATCCCTTAGGTCCCTTTTTAAATCTTTCCCCTCTCACCTTAAGCCTATACTCTCTAGTTTTGGATACCCCTACCTGGGAAAAAGACCTTGTCTATTCATTATATCCATGCCCCTCATGATTTTACAAACTTCTCTAAGGTCATCCCTTACCTCTGATGCTTCAGGGAATATAGCCCCGGCCTGTTCAGCCTCTCTCTATAGCTCATCCCTCCAACCCTGGCAATGTCCTCATAAACCTTTTCTATACCCTTTCAAGTTTAATAACATCTTTCCTATAGCAGGGAGACCAGAATTGAATACAGTATTCCAAAAGTGGCGCCTCCAATGTTCTGTACAGCTACAACATAACCTCCCAACTCCTGTACTCAATGCACTGACCAATAAAGACATGTATACGAAAGGCCTTTTTCACTGCCCTGTCTACCTGCAACTCCATTTTCAATGAACTATTAACCAGCACCCAAGGTCTGTTTGTTGCTGGTTGTAATCAGCTGCGTGAATACCAGTTGGTTTCTCCCAAATAAATTAGTGGGCTGATATTTTGGCCCAGACATGTAGAAATAATGTTGGTTGATCCACACTATGATGGTGGGACCATTCTTGCAAAACATTTCTCCCCACCACCATCAACCTCACACCACACCATGCATCCACACAGTCTTCTGGAGGAGGTTATTAAAGCAAAAGATCTGAGAAGGAAAAGTATTTGTTTTATTTTTCCTCTTCAATCACCTCAGGTGATCAAGACAAGTTAAGGAAATCAGATAGACCAAATGTTATCTGAAAAGACAATTTCCTCAGTTAGGAACCAGTTTGGCTCTGTATCTACAGAGAGCCCAGCACACCAGCCAACAGTGTATTCCAAAGGCTATAAACTTTATGGGGAGAGAAGAACCACCTGATATTCACTCCTGTATCACTCAGCTTCATATTCCCTGTACATCCATGATCTGTGAAACTGGAATAATGTATTAGTAGTCTCACAACCCGATTTCATGAATGATGTATCTAAAATGATACTGCAACGGAGAGAATCGCTAGTTGGCACAGCACGGTGGCTCAGTGGTTAGCACTGCTGCCTCACAACGTCAGGGACCCGGGTTTGATTCCACCTTCGTGCAACTGTCTGTGTGGAGTTTGCACATTCTTCCCATGTCTGCATGGTTTTCCGCTGGGTGCTCCAGTTTCCTCCCACACTCCAAAGATGTGCAGGTTAGGTGGATTGGCCATGCTAAATTGCCCGTAGTGTTCAGGGATGTGTAGCTTAGGTGCGTTAGCCTTGGGAAATGCAGGGTTACAGGGATAGGATAGGGAGATGGTTCTGGGTGAGATGCTGCTTGGATGCTTGGTCGGTGTGGGCCTGTTGGGCTGAATGGCCTGTTTCGACATTAGAGTTCTATGGTTTTTGAATCAAGACGACAGGCTTGTTTAATAAGGATACACAGGGGACTTGGCACTTCGAGAGACTGCTTCCCGGGTTGTAATTTGACCCTTATGTTTATGCATCTCAAAGGTAAACTATGGTTACATTGGTTTCTTGAACATCCTAATGTTACAGGATTTGTACAATGATTACAGGATTTCACACCACTCTCTCACATCTCTGGTTTGTATATTGTGAAGCTAAACACTCCTATCCCAGTGCGTGTACTTGTGCACTGGGTCCCTTTTGTTCTGTTAATGAAGTTCCTGTTGATGTGCATTCTGCAATGGTGGCGTCCTTTTGTCTTTCACGCAGCGCCCCACCCCGCCCAGCCAGGACAGTCATCTCAACTCCAGGTTAAATAATCCTTTTGAATCTACTTTTCTGATGAAGGGTCTAGGCCCGAAACGTCAGCCTCTCTGCTCCTATGATGCTGCTTGGCCTGCTGTGTTCATCCAGCCCTGCACCTTGTTGTCTAGGATCCTTCTTCCCTCTGTTCCAGAGGGGTTTCCTGTCTATCGCTATTACCGTTCAGTAGGTTATGATGGTCCCTAGCATTTGCAGGTATTCCAAGCACATTTTCTTTTTGTGTGTGTTAAGGTGATTATCTTTCTTTCTATTGTGTTTACAGTATCTAATATGATTTCAGTGTTAAATGTTTTGATTCCATTATACATATTCCAGTCCTTCCCCTTGCCAGTGTTTCCAGCAAAGTGCCACACCTGTGTTTATTTGACTATTGATATTTCTATATCTACACCTCCTGCTGCAATGCTTAATGATTTTATAGACTTCTGTCAAGTAACCATTTATTCTATGCTGCTTGAAGTAAGTAGACCAAGGTTCTTGCTGAGTTACAGTTAGCTAGGAACCATCCTTGTAGCTTGCCTCCTGATACCTTTAGCAAAGAAAATCTGTCAACCTCAGTCATTGAGTGTTTCAGTTGACCCCAAGAAAGATTCAAGATTATCACTAAAGTAGTTATTCTTGATTTAACTTCCCAAAGGTCTGATTCTAATTTATGTTATACTCTCTTCTAGATGCCCCCAGTAGAAGAAAATACATCAGCGCTGTCCAATTCCTATAGCGTTCTAAATAATTCCTGTGTAGAGGGCAACTTGAGAATTGTCAACATTTACTTTCTTTAGTTTATGTTGTCTTTTCTTCAATTGGACACTGGACTTAGCTCTATTCTACCTCCCCCTGTCCTCTGGTCTCCCACACCCCCATCTCCATATGCTCTATCACTCTTGGGGCTCTGACACTTCTGAGCTAGCTTTTAGAGTTGATATTCCCTCTAAGTTGTTCTTTGGGTCTCGACTTTGAGGGACTTATTTTGAGAAAATAGTAGTTGTAGCCAACTTGGGAATTGTTTTGTGCAGAAAGTATAGAAGGCGACTGACATTCTCCCCTCGCCTTACACAGCTCTGATATTTATAATACTGATAAAAATCCTCCGTCCCTCAATGCGTTACATCATAAACTAGTTACAGCACAGAATAGAATATCCTTTATTGTCATGTGTACTCCAGTACAGAAGTACAGGAGTACAGTGAAAAGTTTTTATAATGGCCGCCTCTAATGGCACCATCTTCGGTACAAGTACCTAGGTACAAATCTTGTATACAAAAGAGGAATAGAAGGAAAAGCAGTAGCATTACTTAGTGTCTAAAAAAAAGTTAGAAGTAAAATAGTTATAATATAGTTAAAGCACTGACATTATAGTCCAGTAAAGAATTTCAAATCGAAATTACATTGCAGCACGTGGTCTGTCTGCCTGCGCCAGGCCCCAGTCCAACAACAGTCCCTCTCCGCTCCAAGCCTCCAGTCTGCTCTGCCAGACACTCAGCTGCACTAACGTAAATTGTGCTGCTTTGGGACTCACTTGTGCCCATTGCTAGCTGGCTGTCTTCAAGGTCAACTTGCCTAGTCCCCCTTCTCCACCTTCATAACACTGACTTTTTTATTTGTCTTTAGATAATTATTCGGTAGCTTTCAAAAGGCGTGATTAAATCTGCCTCTACCACAGTGCATTCTCTGGCAATGTGTTCCAAATCCTAACCATTCACTGCTTCAAAAACATCTTTCCTCCTGTCGTTGTTGGTCTTCTTGATTAAAATGTTGTAAAATGCCTGAAACAAATAGGCCTGTGGACTGTTTATACATTGTATGAAGCAAATCACTTAATATACCATGAGATAACAAGGTGTAGAGCTGGATGAACACTTCAGAAAAATGGCCTAGGCCCGAAACGTCAGCCTTCCTGCTCCTCTGATGCTGCTTGGCCTGCTGTGTTCATCCAGCTCTACACCTTGTTATCTCAGATTCTCCAGCATCTGCAATTCCTACTACCACTTAATATACCACTTGTCTGATCCAGTAAGAGGCCTTTCTGTCTTACGCGGAATTTTGATTCTTGGGATAAGGCCATGATCATATGAGGAAAGATTGTGCCTGAGTCTGTTGGAGTTCAGATGAACGAGAAATTCTATGATTGAAACACTATTAGATCCTGAGAAGACTTGATAGGATAGATGCTGAAAGGGATGTTTCCCCTTGTGGAAGAGACCAGAACTAATGCATGCAGTTTAGGAATATGAAAATTTAAGATAAAAGTCAGGAGAAAATGTTTGATGGTTGAGAACTGGTGGAATTCTCTTCACCAGAAGTTGGGAGAGGCAGGGTCATTGAATGTTTTTAAGGCAAAGTTACATAGATTCTTCTCCAACAAGTGGGTTAAAGGGAATAGAGAATAGCCAGAAAGTATTTTTGAGCCCAACATTCCCTCTAATTTTTTTTACCAGCTGTGGGTGTCTCAGGCCTGTGTGTGCAGCGACTTCAAGCACCAGAAATCACTGCAGCGATGGGCGTGCCAGAACATTGGAGTTGCCATGCATATGCGCAACCTTGCAGCTCAGAGGGAATGTTGATCAGCCATGATCTTGTTGCATGGTGGAGCAGGCTTGATGGGCCCATTTCATGTGATTGTGCTTACCAGTGGTTTTGTTGTTGCAGCCATTGAGATCTTTAAGCTGGGTAAGGGCTCACTGCCAGGTATGAATGGACACACGCTACGCAGTAGATACCCTACACATTTGCAAATGAGGGCATAGGATGCTAGCAGTCACCTTGGCCATTTTGGAAGGGAAAAATTTGGTTCCCGTTTGGAAAGCCGGCCAGCAAACCACAACAGGCAAGACTTGGGCTTTGCGACTGAGTGAGGAAGTATTGGGGCAGGCAATGGTTGAAAGATGAATCACATTACCTCCAATCCCAAGGCAATCCTTGGTTCATTTGGATGTGAAATATTGTAACCAAAAGGCTGTAATCTTGTAGCCAGTTCACATGTGTGAAAGCAGCATTTGTAATGATGCTTAATCTACTGATCTGTCATTTCTGCTTTCTTTTTCTCAGCGAATTAAACGCGATATTTTCATCACCTGCGAGTTTGAATGGCAGTTTCCTTGACCATCGGTAGGTACGGTAATTTATTTTGAATGTGAGTACAGTTGTGTGTGTGCGTGCACTTGCACGAAGGGAATGCAGCCCAGTTATTTAAAAATGTTAAAGAAATTATATGGTTGAAATGTGGTAAAATTAGGCCTGTGCAATGGCCCTTTTTCTTTCCAGGATTTAGTCAGTTTGGTCAACATCCTACAGGAACAGGAAACTGTCTTCTTCACCTGGGCTGGCCTACACGTGGCTCCAGACCTACAGCAATGTGGTTGACTCTGGGCAGTTAGGAATGGGTAATAAATGCTGGCCTAGCCAGCGATGCCCTCATCCAGTGAATGAATAAATTAAAGAAAAGCCAATAGCGTTGCCCTCTATTCAGAGATATTCTTGGAGGTTTCATCCCATGACCTCCCAACACCAGCCATTCTGCCCCTTCCCTTGGCGGTGTGGGGGGGTAGAAGTTTGTAAGTTACTATTGAATCTACTTCTGCTCCCCTTTCAGGCAGTACATTCTAGATTATCATAACTTCCGGTGTAATACATTTGTCTCCTCCTCTCTTCCCTGGCTTTATGTTTGTCAATTACCTTCAAGTTCCCAAGTTAATTTTTCTTGCTTCCACCACCAATCCCCCTCCCCAACACCCCCATGCGCGCGCAAAGGCCTTGAGCAAAGTTTGCCTCGCTTCTCAGAAGCTTCAACTTTCCTTTCTGATACTTTGAAAGATACAACTGCACATTGGAATATATAAACTAGATTTCTCCCATACTGTACTTTTTGCCTCATTATTTTTTTAATAATTCTTTTGCTTATATTTTCTGCCCAGTTTTCTGACCCACCACCCATCTTTGTATAGTTAGGTACTTTTTATTTGTTTGGTACTATTTTTCATTTAACCATGGATGGTGAATTCTCCTGTTTTTGGAAATTTTCTTTCTGAGAATGTATCTGGTTCTGACTATTCTGAACTATATCCTTGAATGTCTGCCACTGTATCTCTTCTGACCTATCTCTAAACCTAATTTGCCCTAAAATACAGCCAAGAACTATGGACGCTGGAGATCTGAAACAAACAAAATAGAAATTGCTAGAAAAACTCATCAGGTCTGGCAGCATCTGTGGAGAAAAACAGAGTTAACATTTTGAGTCCAGTGACCCTTTGTCAGAACTTAATTTGCCTGCTGACTGAGCAAGATCTGCTTTCATGCTCCTTCCACATGTAATTATAATGTCATCAATTATCTTGTTATGCAATCCCAGATATATCATAACCTGCTGTCTGTTTGGCTCCTGAATATGCTGTTATAAGAAATTATCCTGAATTTTGTTTGATAGTTGGCCACAGTAGGAGAAATCTCTGTATCTCAAAGTTTCTGGTAAAGCTGTGCCCACAATCAAACGAACCCATAAAAGGATTCATTGGAAAGTTATTTGACGTTGTAAGCATATAGATTGTAGGAATGAAAAGCATTGGATTCTGACAACAAATTTACTTTGTTTTAGTGTAATAGTTAAGGTAAGAGGTGGAGGAATATGGACAAATTTTCCATTTAAAAAGTACGTATTTTAATCCCTTTCAGTAATGACGAGCATTTTAAAACCAGTCCTCGAAACCCTGGAATTGACTTGAAGGCTGCTATGTTGTTTTTTGAGAAGATGGTGAATTCTCCGTATGCCAAATTACTACATCAGGTAAATCTCAAACATTGTGGAATGTGAAACCTGGTTGTCTTGAATTCTTTGCTCTTTGAGTGAGTGAGAACTTACGAGACTTGAATTCTCCACTATACCAAAAGCATTAAAGAACCCTCAGCTTTCCCCAGCGATTTACTTGATGGTGTTATTGATTTAGTCTTCGTGAGTAATACCCTGTGATACAAAGCTGTCACAAAATAAATTGCATTTCACGTAGAGATTTAGAATGTGGGCCATGTTTAAGACAATGCACCAGTGGCTGGGTATACAGAAATTGGGTTGAAGCATCATAGAGTCATAGAATCATGCAGTCATACAGCATGGAAACAGACCTTTCTGTCCAACCAGTCCATGCCAAATATAATCTCAAACTAAACTAGTCCTATCTGCCTGCTCGTGGCCCATATCCCTTCAAACCTTTCCTATTCATGTATCTATCCAAATGTCTTTTAAACATTGTAATTGTACCCACATCCACCACTTCCTCAGGAAGTTCATTCCACATGCGAACCACCCTCTGTGTGAAAAAAATTGCCGGTCATGTCTTTTTTAAAATCTCTCTTCTGTCACCTTAAAATGTGCCCCCAAGTCTTGAAATCCCCCATTCTAGGGAAAAGACAACTACCATTAACTCTGTTTATACCTCTGAGTATTTTATAAACTTCTATTAGGCCACTTTTCAACCTTCTATGCTCCAGTGAAAAAAGTCCCAGCCTATCCAGCCTTTCTTTATAACTCAAATGTTCCATACCTGGCAACATCCTGGTAAATCTCTTTGAGCCCTCTCCAGCTTGATAATATCCTTCCTATAACTGGGCAACCAGAACTGGACACAGTATTCCAGAAGAGGCCTCACCAATGTTGTCCACAAACTCAACATGACCTCCCAACTCCTATACTCAAAGGATTGAGCAATGAAGGCTAGCTTGCCAAATGCCTTTTTAACCATCCTGTCTATATGTGACATATACTTCAAAGAATTATGTACCTTCACCTCTTGGTCCCTCTGTTCTACAACACTACCAAGGTCCTACCATTAATTGTATAAGCCCTACCCTTGTTCGTTGTGCCAAAATTCAATACCTTGCTTTTATCCAGATTGAATTCCATCTGCCATTTTTCAGCCCATTAACCCATTTGATCAATATCCTTTTGTAATCTTAGAAAACTTTCTTCACTGTCCACTTTGCCCCAAATTTCGGTGTTGTCTGCAAACTTATTAACCATGCCTTCTATATTCTCATCCAAATCATTTATATAAATGACAAACAAAGGAGGACCCAGAGCTGATCATTGTGGAAAACCGTTGGTCACAGGCCTCCAGTCCGAAAAGCAACCCTCCACTTAGGTGGGGACCAAATAAAAGTTAAATAGAATAGAATAGCCTTTACTGTCGCATGCACTCGAAGTTTGTAATGTCGTCCCCTCGGCACCATCTTTAGGTACAGCGTACCCACGTACAGATACTTTAAGTGTTGTCACTGAATTGAAATAGTGAAACAATAGGTTAGCATGGGAATACAGAGTTTAAAAGTCCAGAATGAGAATAAAAAGTTTCTATAAAGTACTCAAGTTGTAGTCCTCATAATCCTTTTCCAACATCAGTCCATGCCTGCTGGGCTTCAGAGCACGAGGCCTCGCTGGCTTCCATCCAGGACCCGCTCTGGGACTCGGCCCACGCTCGCTGTGCTGCCGCTCTGGGACTCAGCCTGCGGATTCCCCACACAACGATATCCTGATCGCTGTTGGATATTTTCTTCATTGGAACTCTGCAGCAATGACTTTATTTTCTATCCACGTAACATGTTTTGTTCAAATTGTTTTAAAATGTTTTTACATGCTTTGGCATGAACCCCCACCTCTCTCTACAGTTTGTTCACTATTCCTGTCCCAACATTTTATTTTTATCACCCCCTCCTCAGTCCCTCTTCAACTGCTCTCCTGCCTTGGCCGTTTCTTCTTCCCCATCCACTCCACCATTCCTACTTGCCATGCCCTTCCCCCCCCACCTCCAGCCTCCTTCACAACCCCCTCCCAGGAAGACACGGTGGTTTAGCACTGCTGCCTCACAGCGCCAGGGACCTGGGTTCAATTCCAGCCTTGGGCGACTGTCTGTATGGAGTGTGCACTTACCACCACCCCCCTCCAAAACCTTTGTCTGCGTGGGTTTCCTCCGGGAGCTCCAGTTTCCTCCCAGTTGAACGATGTGCAGGTTAAGTGGATTGGCCATGTCATGTTGCCCATAGTGTCCAGGGATGTACAGGCTATGTGGATTATTCATGGGAAATGCAGTTTACGGGGATAGGGTGTGGGAGTAGGTGCGGACTTGATGGGCCAAATGGCCTGTATCTGCACTGTAGGGATTCCTCATTCTATGATTCCTGGAGTCATCCCACACCAGCACAGTGAGTGTAGATCAGCCAACAGATGCAAACATTGAATAGTTACAGTCTCTATGGTGGGTTGCTCCCAAGTAGAGATCGGATATAAAAACAGGAAGGGGAAGATGGGGAAATCTGCAGGTTCTGTTAACTGATGTCCTGGTTAACAATGCCATTCGCTGTTCGGTTACCAAATTAACCCTGCTTGTGTCTCAGTGAAATGCTTTTGCTCCTTGTCTGCAGAAAACCTAGAGGTGGAATGGAAATGAATCAAAGCTGGGTGAATAACTACCAGCTGCAGCCTTGAATGGGCACTGAGTTGTCAATGAAGCAGCAAGGAATGTTGACTGGAGATGCCTGTCACATTATTGTATGGGCACCATTGATGGTTTGGTATTGACTATTGTCACCATGAAGCACACATACTATCTGAATGGTTCAGCTGCAGTTGGTGTTGGGTGATCAAAAGGTGCCCGGGTTTTTTGTATCGGGGCTGTTGAATGATTATAGGTGATTCCATTGTAGGATTAGTGGAATGTGTAACTTTGAGTTCAGTCTTTATTTGTAATTTCTGGGGGTTGCACAGACCAATGCTCATTTTGTTGTAAACATCAGCAGTACAATAGTTTTAAAACGTGAAGTAATTAGTGTCTGAGGCCACTTTTGCTCCATAGATAAAAACAGAAAATGGACTGACGTATGCAAATGCTGAAATAATTGACAATGCACAAGAACTATGAAAGGGAAGTAATTCAGTTGATGTACCACTTTTCACAATATCAGAATGTCCCAAAGCTCTTTACTGCCAGGTTTTGAAGTCGCTGCCATAATGTAGGAAACAAGGTAACTAGTTTGTGCGCACATTTGTGGGAATGAATGGCCTTATTTGCTGTTGCGTTAGGATAAACATTGCAAGAGCTCCCATGCTTGTCTTTGAAATAGATCTATTGGATCTTTTATACTCGCCTGAGAGGACAGGTAGGTCCTCGGCATTGCAGTGGAGTATCAGTTCCAGATTATAGGAATGGGACTTGTTCGCAGTGTGCTACCCACTAATCATCAGCAATCAGAAAGGAAGATAACATTGATATAACTGTGTTGAATTTTTCACATGGGACTACCTTTTTCTTTTTCAGGTTACTGTGACTTTAGAGAATCATTTGATTTCCCAGTTACCAACTTCACCGCCGGATGTCGAGGCCATGAGAGCCTTTTTGATTTTACCGGTACTTCCTCTCTTCCGAGAGTCTAAGAATTATTTGACCTTTGCTCTGCCGTTTGCTGCAGCCATTCTCCACTTGGATGCCAACCCAAGCAAAGTGTTGGGTAAGTACTGAGCACGTGCAGAGCTGTGAAGTAAAGCAATGGCCAATCTAATTTAGCAGTCTTTTTATTGGTTTCACCGAATGTTACTGTCTGTTATGGCTGTATGTATCCCCTTTGGTTTAAGGATCACTGTTGTGACTTGAATTATTTTTCTGTACAGTTTTCCTCCCATGTTTGAGGACAGGGTTGTGGAAATGCCTCAAAAGAGGGAGATGACTGAAGATTGCTCCTATCTGTCCATTACACAGCTGAATGATTGCTTTGTTTGAGCTGTTGGGGAAACAGTGCCACTCATGTGTTGATTGAAGACACTGTTTATGTTAAAGACTTGCCCCCTTGTAGCATAAGACAGTAGTGCAGCTCTACAGACATTTGAATTAAAAGCTGAAGTGTCCATTGCTGAAGAAGAGTCATACTGGACTCAAAACGTTAAGTCTGTTTCTCTCTCCACAGATGCTGCCAGAGCTGCTGAGGTTTTTGTGTTAGGCAGGTGGGAGTTTGAAGGTGAGGCTCCAGGATCTTTGGCATATAGGTGCAGGAGTAGGCTGTTCAGCATCCCTTTTTAAATGTCAACACAGCAGGGAGAGGGATGAAAAGGGGATGATCACAGAAGTGGTAAATAGATGGCCTTACCGTGGGTTCGAAGGAGTGGAGATACCATGAATGAAGACTGGGTCCTGGGATCGTGAAGAGATGGGAGAGTTCATGTGGATGGGAGGGGCGTTAAGAAGAGGAAGGGCAAGATTGCTGGAGGAGGTCTGATGGTGACCAGCTTCAGTGGGGAGAGGTGCAATGGCAGAGCAGAATGAAAATGGAGTGGGAACTGCTGCAGGTGGAGCATAGACTCCTTCAGATCAGTGCTTGGCAGCGAAGGGGATAATGACCTCCTGTTATTTCCAGTGATGGTTTAAACCAATGGGCCTTTTCTCTTTGCAGACAACTGGTGGTGTTGGGTGGATGCTGGCTATTTCTGCCAGCTGGTGGAGCTCTATAAAGATGCAGTGGTCTACCTTCTAACCCGGATGAGGACCTCTCTGCTGGCTCCTGTGTTTAGCCATTACATCATTGACGCTCTCCGGGTTTTGGAAAAGTTGCACAAGGTACTTAACTGAAATCAAAGATTGGAAATTTACCTTTGTCCTGGGAAGTGGTCCCACTTCTGGGGCTGGGTGTGAGAAGAGAAGCTTTAAAGAGTTTAAAGTGCTTTTAAAAGTTGCAGCTACATCCATTACAGAGCAAGTGTGGATAGTACTCTTGTCACTTCTGTATAAACCAACCTAAACTTTGGTAATCTGCTCACTTTGAGGACGTCTTTTTATTTATTCTTTAATCGCTTGGTAGCACAGAACTTAAACATTGCTAAAAGAAGACAAGAAGTAAAACATTTTTGTCTTGCACCCATCAGAATAAGGACACAAAAAACAATTTTGGGAAATGGAGAGACCAATTTACACAGCGTTGATGTATATGGTGTATTTATTCTTTCCCAAGATGTGGGCTGGATTAGTCAGCATTTATTACCCATCTCTAATTGTCTTTCAGAAGTTGGCACTGAGCTGCCTATTTAACCCACAAGGGGGTTGTACGCCTTACATGCACTGCCTTTAAATGTTCACTGTCTCCACAAACGATGCACAGTAGCAGTGTGGGTACCATCTACAAGATGCATTGCAGTAACTCACCCAAACTCTTACAACATGCTTTGGAAGGCCATGACCTCTACCACTTGGAAGAACAAGGAGAGCAGATGTTGGAGCCACCACCACTCTTAAGATCCCTTCTAAGTCACTCGTCATCCTGACTTGGAGCTCTATCATCGTTTTCTCACTTTAGTGTGTTAAACTGGAATTCCCTCCATCGTGGCACACGGACTGCAGCGGTTCAAAAAGGCACTTCACTGCTACCTTCTCAAGGACAGTGAGAGATGGGCAATGAATGCTGGCCTTGGCTGCATGGCTCACAGTTAGGATAAAATGAAAAATAATCCTCCTCGCTGAGTCATAATTGCAGTCAGATCTCCATTGCACCATTTGATTGTGAAATGCATTTGTTAAAAAGGTTAGTTCCAGGGTAGATGGGTTATCCAGGGGCATGTTGTCTGCTCGGTTGCCTTATATCCACCTGAAGAGAAAGTTTTAATTTGGCTGCATTTCTGTGTGAGTTGTTTGTGACTACAACACAGAGTGCAGTATAAATCTTACACCTTGCATCTAAACCAAGTATTTTTCCTCTTTATTTCTACACAGGTTAATTTGATTGCGAACCATATTGACTATGAGGTATTCTACATCCACGAACTGAACAACTTCGTCAACATTGAAACAGATTTTCTTTACTGGGCATCTCAACATGCTGGAGTAGTAAGTACATTGCTTATCACACTTCTGTAGTCTTCTCGTATTGAAGATTTGAGACAGGCTGTTCATTCGTTTTTTACTCCTCTCTTCGCCATAGCAGTATAACCAAGACTTCTGTTTTATTTTACAGAAAATCCAGCCAGCTATCGCAGAGGTGAGTAAACCCAGACATCGCTCTCATTTTTAACAGGAAGCCTGGATACCTGCGAAAAGAGGTCTTCATCTCTCAGAGCTTGTCCTTTTGTGGAAGCAAGGAATAAATTGCATTTGTGTAGCACCTTGTCTCAACCCCAGCGTGTGCACTATTGTGCTTTGCAGTCATTATGTCGCACTTGACATGCTGACACTGTTGCTGAGGTACAGAGCAAGATCCCAAATTCAGCACATGAGAAGGCAGATGATATTATCTCTGAGCATGTTTGGTTGAGGAATAAATGTTGGTCAGGGCACCTCTGAAAGCTGCCCCGTTCTACAGTGAATGGTGTCCTGGGATTATTCGCATCCACCTGACAGGGCAGTTGGGGACTCTGTTTGACGTCTCATCTGATGCACTGTGGCACTGAGCCCTGAGTGCTAGCCTGGGTAATGAGACAAATAGGGACTTGAACCCATGATGTCTGAATCAAGAGAAAGAGTGCCCTCTCTTACACAAGGCTGAATGTGTTTTTCTCATTTGAGTGACTGTAAAATGGTTACACTGCAGAAAACAGCCATTTCACCTATAATCTTCGTGGCTGTCTTACAGCAGTTCAGTTAACCCCACCTCCCTGGCCTTTCCATAAAGCATGGCAAATTATTTCTCTGTTGCAATTCCATAAAAGGAGAATAGGTGTCATTGGCTAAGCCAGCATTTATTTCCCTTCTCTTATTAAGGAGCCAACCACTTTGCTATGGATGTGGTATCACTTGTAAAGCAGACCAGATTAGGATGGCAGATTTCCTTCCCTAAAGGACGTTAGTAATCCAAATGGATTTTTATGACAATCGACAATTGTTACACGGTTGCTATCAGGCTAGCTTTTTATTCTAGATTTTTGAATTTGATTCGAATTTTACCTTCGACCGTGGTGGGATTCGAACCTGTGTTCTGGATTCAGTGGCATTGCCACTATGACACTGCCTCCCAGATACTGATTGTTCTATCTTGATTTTCCATGCCTGTGCCAGCAGTGCATTTCTGACCCTTTCCACTTGCTGTTGGATAACTGTTAGTTTGTTTGTCAATTGCCTTAAATCTGTGTCCCTGTGTTCTCGATCCTGCCACCAATGGGAACAATCTCTCTCCATCCTCTGTGTCCAGACCCCTCATTATTTTTACCTCCATCAAATCTCCTTTCGGCCTTCAGTGAAGAAATCCATCAGAACTTCTCTAAACTGCTCTGTCAACCATTCTCGTCATTTATTTCTGCATTTTTTTTCTAATAACTTCACATCCTTCCCAAATTATAATGTCCAGAATTGGGCACAATACTTCAGTTGAGGGTGAATCAGGTGTTTGTTTCTTTTATTTTGCAGTTCACCATAACCTCCTTGCGCTCCAGTATATAAAGCCTTGGATCCCATGAGCCTCATTTTCTCTTTGTATTCATATACCCAGATTCCTGCACCTACTTTTAGAATGGTGTCCTTTTTTCCTTAATATTTCACCTTTTCGTATTGTGTCTACAAATCATGTCACTTTATACTTTTCTGCATTAAATTTGATGCACCATGTGTTCACCCATTCCACCAAGCTGTCCCTGTCCTCTTGAATTCTGTCAGATGTCACACGACACCAGGTTATAGTTCAACAGGTTTATTTGAAATCACAAGCTTTCAAAGCGCTGCCCCTTTATCAGGTGACAAAGGAGCAGCGCTTTGAAAGCTTGCGATTTCAAATAAACCTGTTGGACTGTAACCTGTTATCATGTGACTTCTGACTTTGACCACCCCAGTTCAACATCGCCACCTCAACCTCTGAATTCTGCCACTGTTCTCACCAGTTCATAATGCTTCCTAGTTTTGTCATCTGCAAATTTTGAAACCACACGCTGTTTACCCAAGTCGAACCGATGAGTATAAAATAAGCTGTGATCCAAATAATATTAACTCCTGACGAACCCCACTATCTGACCCTCCTCTAGCTTGGAAACCAACTGCTCATCATTATTTTCAGTTTCCTGTCACTCAGCCAACTATGTACTTGTGCTGCCACTATCACCTTTACTCCAGGGGCTTTAACTTTGCTGACAAACTTATTATATGGCACTTAATTGAAAGTTTTTTTTTTAAAAAAGCCCATATACAAGACATCAGCTGCATTTTCTGTCCTTTTTAATTAGAATCATAGAACCACAGCACAGAAACCGATCCTTTGGTCCAACACGTCCATGCTGACCAGGTATCCTATACTGAACTAGTTCCATTTGCATGCATTTGGCCCATTTCCTTCTAAACCCTTCCTATCCATATACCCATCCAAATGTTGTTTAAATGTTATAATTGTACCCGCCTCTACTATTTCCTCTGCCAGTTTGTTCCATACATGCATCACCTCTGTTTGAAAAAGTTGCCTCTCAGATCCCTTTTTCCCTCTCGCCTTAAACCTATGCCCTCTAATTTTGGATACCCCCACCCTGAGAAAAAGTCCTTGGCTATTCACCTTATCTCTGTCCCTGACCTGAACCTTATGGTCAATGACCCCCAACTGATTCCCTACTGACAATTGATGCACTTCATTCCTCAGAACCAGATACACAATGCCTCCTTCTTCTTTGTTGGAAACTCCCCTCTTCCCTTCCATTTATTCTGGACAATCTGTGTTGCAATAATCAAAGTCCGCTGTTAGAAAATATATCAGTTTATGCACCACTCTGTAATTTCCTTTTCTATTGTCTATAACTTTCCCAATAGTTAATGGTATATGTGAAACGAGTGACTGTGTGAAGTTTGCATGTTCTCCCCGTGTCAGCATGGGTTTCCTCCCACAGTCCAAAGCTTGGCAGGTTAGGTGAATTGGTCATGCTAAATCACCCCTGGTGTCCAGGGATGTGCAGGTTAGATGGAATAGCCTTGGCAAATGCAGGATTATGGGGATGGGGTGGGTCTGGGTGGGATGCTCCTTCGAGGGTCAGTGTGGACTTGATGGGCCAAATGGCTGCTTCCACACTGTAGGAATTCTATGATTCTATGATTTGTGTAGTGGTAGTCTATTATTTCTTGGCTTGAATCAAAAATATTCTGTCCTTGATTCTTCTCGAACATCTTTCTCTTCAGCATTTTTCTCGGCACCTTAAACAATATTGCTGCTCCATCTCTCTTCTTATCTTTCCAAAGTGCCTTGTATTCAGGAATATTTAATCCCTGTTTTTTAACCGTTATTGTTCAGTCATATCCCATTCTGTCACAATATCATATTCCCATGATTGCGCCTGCTGCTCATCAGTCTTACTTGCCAATCTGTTCCTGTGCAAGTGTTGTCAATGTAATTTAGACTATTTTGCATCCCATCTTACTCTGAACCCACGTAATGCCTGAGTCTTTCTTAGTGTATTTCTTTCTCCTCCACCATTTGTGCATCTTGGTTCCTTTCAGACACTACGTTTGAAATCACAGAGGTGTGACGATGCAGAAAGAGGCCATTCGGCCCGTTGTATCTTCAGTGACCCTATTAATTATGCATCATTATCTGTACCAATTTTCTGCTTTTTCTCCATGCCCTTGCACATTATTTCTATCCAAATAATCATCCATTTTCCCCCAGGAATGGCTCAGTTGAGCATGTCTCTACCGCACTTCCATCCCATACCCTAACTACTGGCTGAGTGAAAAAGTTTTTCCCTCACATATATTTGCTCCTTTTGCAAATCATTTTCATTTTCAATCTGTTCTAGTTCCCGTCTCCCTGCAATGTTTGGTTAAACTTGCCCCAATTGTACTAGCAAACTGCTCCTCCAGGACTTTGGTTCATGGAATCGTAAAATCCCTACAGTATGGAAGCATGCCATTCGGCCCATTGTATCCACGTTGAACCTCCGAAGAGCATCCCACCCCCACCACCCTACCCTATTCTTGCATTTCTCATAGCTAACCCACCTGGCCTGCACATCTTTGGACTGTGGGAGGAAACCAGAACACCTGGAGGGAACCCACGCAAACTCCACACGGACAGTTGCCTGAGGATAGAATTGAACCCGGGTCCCTGGCGCTGTGAGGCAGCAGAGCTAACCACTGTGCCACCCCTTGGTTTTCCCCTTCTATTACTTTATGGATTTTTTTTCTGGTTTTTCCTAAAGGTTACTTCCTGGTTTTTTTTTTCCAGGTCCCCATTGCTTTCTGCTCCTACCCTTTTGTCTTGAATGCTCAGGCAAAGACAAAGATGTTACAAACAGAAGCTGCGTTGCAGATGCAGGTACGTTATATTGGAGCTAGTGGTAGAAACGTTACTGTATCACTCAGGAATTTGCAGTACACCTTTGGCACTGAGAAGTCATTCCAAAGTTTGGGGTCTAGACAATGACAATGTGGCTGCCAGTAGTGGTGCAACGGAAATGGTGATTTCATTCTTGGGATGTGGGTATCACAGGATGTGGACATCACTGACTGGGCCAACATTTGTTGCCCATCCCTGGATGCCTTTGAGAAGGTGATGGTGGGACACCTCCTTGAACTGCTGCAAGCCTCGTGGAGTAAGTCCACCCATGTTACCTTTAAGAAAGGAGTTCTGTGATTTTAACCCAGCAACAGTGGAACAACAGCGATTCAGTTTCAAGTCAGGATGGTGAGTGAGTTGGAGGGGGAACATGTGGGTGGTGGTGTTCCCATGTTTCTGCTGCCCTTCTAGATCAGAGGGCAGTGTTGGAGAAACTGAGAGTGTTGTAGGGCTGGGGGATTTTACATAGATAGGTAGAGAGGTGAGAATGATTGGAAGATGAGTAACTTTGGTGTTCAATACTGGAGACAATATAGATGAGTGAGCACAGGGGTGATGGGTGAACAAGGTTGGGTATGAGCTATAAAACATAAGCCACAGTTAAAGAGTGAACTCCCAGTTGGTTGCAAGCATGGGTAGGGTGAAGGGTGTGTGGAATGCATAACAGAGCAGTATACAGTTCTGGGACTTCCAGGAGTGTTCAGACTTTAACGAAAAGGGATTCTTTCAAACTGTGATGCTCTTCTGCGCCCCTGTTAAACAGATAGCGGTGAACAGGACCAGCCTAGAGAACATCTTCATGCTTCTCACCCTGGGCCCTTTCCTGACCAGTAGCCCCTTCCTGGTTTTGCACGTTCAGCGGACTAATCTGGTCAGTGACGCCTTGAGGGAGCTCAGCATCCATTCAGACGTGGACTTGAAAAAACCTTTGAAGGTAAGAGGATCAGGACTGTTAAACCTGGCAGCTAGACTCCATTTGTTGAGTATTAAATTAGAATCGAATAGTCAGGGTGTATGTAGTATGTTGGCTTTAGCCCCTTCCATGTCCAAGTGCTGGCCTTGCATCGGCCTTTAGCACAACGGCCCCTGACAACAGAACGTTGTAGCTTTAACTCATACAACAAGAGTAATCCCTTGTGACCCGAACTCCGATCAGGTCAGTTAGAATATCTTACTAATTCATGTTATAGCGAGGTGGACATACAAAAGAGCAATTAGGATCTGACTCACTTCAGTCAGTACAGCTTATCTTTGTATTGATAAATAACAAAAAAACGCCAAATCCCTGAATGTAAAGACTACTTTATTTAGGACTTTGGCCTAGACCAATGAGGAAAAAGATACTGCTTTAAGCCAAGAAAGCTGTGGAAGGTGATATTGCAGTTGTAAAATAAAGTCACTGGAACTCATTGTAGATATAGCACTCAAAGTTGTCTCATTCAGGTAGTGGGGAGGACAATGCCAGGTGCAGAATGTTTTCTGTGTGTTAACATGTTTTTGAGTGTGTGTGTGTATGAGTGTCTGTGTGTTGTGTCCCTCAAGTGATGATAGTTCCATATGTGGATGATAGGGTTGTCTGTCTGTCTCTGTCTCCTCTTCTCCCCAACCCCCCAACCTTGCTGTCTCTCGCTCTGTCTCACCTTTCCCTCTCCTCTCTCTCTTGGAGAAATAACAGAAAATTGCCTGGTAACTGTTCCCACTCACCATTTCCTTCTAACCTGCTCTCTCTGCTAATTCACTGTTGAAAGGAAAAGGGGAAAACAAATTTCTCTCTCCACAGACACTGCCAGAACCTGCTGAGTTTCTTCAGCACTCTGTTTCAGATTTCCAACATCCACAGGATTTTGTTTTTTCTCTCTGTCTCTGCCTGTATTTTGTTTCTCTCTGTTCAAATATGATCACAGTTGACACATTTTTCAATTGCCTGGAAGAGCTAACAAATTGTCTGTTGTTTCATATTTGGGGTGGGGGGTGTGCTTTGCTGGCGCGTATACACTTCTGTTTTGCATATTCACCACCTTCCTGCTTGCCTTTTCAGCAAACTTGTAAAAAAAGAGTTTGCATATTTTTTTGTTTAAAAAGTGAATATTCTTTGCTAAGGGTCGTTTCTGTCTCCAAGTCCACTGTGTGATCAGGGTTGGTATGGAACCGGAGTTTGACCTGATTCCGCTGACTTGTTCCTGGTACAGGTGGTGTTCCTGGGTGAGGAGGCCGTGGACGATGGAGGTGTGACAAAGGAGTTCTTCCTGCTGTTGCTAAAGGAGCTACTGGATCCTAAATATGGGATGTTCACATACTATGAGCAGTCCAGGCTTTTGTGGTTTTCAGAAAAAGTGAGTGGCTCTTTCACTGCTTGCACCAATTCTGACCAGCCCATCTTTATCCTCCTATAATCTAAAGTAGCTTGTGCTGAGAGTGTGGGATCAAGATCAAGAAGGAACTTACCCACAAGTATCAAACAGCAACAACAAAGGCCCCAAGACTAGGAACATTCTATTCAAATATAAAAGTTAAAGGGTTTCTTTGGAACCATGTAAATGTGCCTTAAACCCATTGTCTGCTAGAATTCCCATTGTACCTCAGTGATGTGTTCACATTCTGTTCTAAAATTCTGGTGTAGTATCAATAATTTTGTATCATTAGCTCATACTCACTCAGAACTGAATTGTGTATATTCTAGGCTGTTTCATGTAGGGTGCTTATAACCAGCAGAGAGGAAATTTTCGTGCCATATGTTGGTTGAATTAAAACCCATCAACATTTAATCAGTAACATACTTTAAAATATTTTAGCAAAACTTACAATTTTTTCAAGGACATCCTCAACAGTATTTGGGGGTCAGAGTTAGAGATGTCACCTGCAGATGCCAATGTGATAAATTTAATCAGTTTTGAAGGAAGCCTAGGTTTGTAGTCAGATCTTTCAATAGAGCCAATGATTTGATTTACTGAATTATTAAAAGGCATTCCATTCCGTGTGTACCTGTGACCTAAAAGTCAGGAAGGAAGATGAAGGATTGGCAGAGCCTGTTCATGGGGTTCAGCTTTGGGTCTTGGATGGGAATCTCATTGACCTGAAACACAAACCGTCTCTAGCCACAGATATTTCTTGGCCCACTGAGTGTTTTCCAACTTTTTTCTGCGCTGTTTTTGTTTCTGATTTCTTGAATTGCCCTGAGTACAAATCGGGTCACACAGCAAAGTTCATACTCTGTGAATGGGGTAGAGTTCAGTGTTCGTGGTGTGAGAGGGTGAGTGATTTGCCAAGATCCAGCGTCAGGGATAATATGCTTTTTGTTCCTGCATGGAAGATGTGGATGTCATTCTAGAGGTCAGTGTTTGTTGCACATCCATTTCTCAGGCTAGAGAATGGTCAACTATGTGTAGGCCAGACTGGGTGGATTTGGCAGATTTCCTTCCCTAAAGGGTACTAGGAAACCAGATGGTTTTTTCTGACAATCAATGATGATTTTATGACTAGCTTTCAGTTTATAAATTGAATTTTAATTCCACTGGTTGTAGTGGTGAGATTTGAACCCATGTTCCCACATGGATTTCTGAATGGTTGCTCCAGTGACATTATCATAGTCTCCCATTAATTTAATGTGCATAATAGTTTGTGGGAAGGTATTTCCCTAACTGTACTGCAGATGCCTTTGTCTCTGGTCTTGTTTGTCAGATGTAAAAGTGCAGGGTGTTTGAACTAGAAGCATAAACTTCTTTCTCTGTCAAACCCCAGACATTTGTGGAGTTGAACTGGTTCCACCTGATTGGGATTCTCTGTGGCCTAGCCATCTATAACTTCACTGTGGTGGACCTACGCTTTCCCCTTGTGTTGTACAAAAAGTTGCTGAGCGTGAAACCCACTCTGGAGGACCTGAAAGAACTTTCTCCCACCGAGGGCAGGTGAGTGTTCTAATTTATATGCCCAGAGTGAGGATGGTATTTAATAAAAATAACTTCTTCGGGAGGAGAATGTTAGATACCAGATCCAAACATGTTGTGAATCACTTAATCTGTTCAAAAACAGAAATTGCTGGAGAAACTCCACAGGTCTGGCAGCCTCTTTGAGAAGAAGGCAGAGTTAACGTTTTGAGTCTGGTAACCCTTCATCAGGGGGTGAATGGATACATGGCGAGAAAGCCCAGGAGAGAGACAAAGGAAAGGGGTAGGTAAACAAGGGGAGCTGAATAAGTCATAATGAGAGCTGAGATTTGGAGAGAATGGATAGGCTGTACTGAAAGCAAACCATGTCATAACAGAATAGGGTGTGGCGTGGGTAAAGAAACAAAGTTATTGAACCCTATATTGAGTCCTAGAGGTTGCAGGGCCACCAAGCAAAAATGAGATTTTATTCTTCAACCTTGCACTGAGGCTTGTTGGGACAATGCAGCAGGCCTGTGATAGAAATGATGGCCAGGGAACATGTCGGTGTTTTGAAGTGGCGGGCAACTGGAAGCTCAGGGTCACGTTTATGGGCAGAACATAGATATTCTGCAGAGCAGCCACCCCCAGCCTGCGTTTCGTCTTCCCAACATAGAGGAGGCCATGTTGTGAGCAACGAATAACATA